CCCGCCAGCCCACCAGCCTGTAATCGGGGTGGGGGTTGGCCCTGGCAGTGGCGGGCAGGTGCCACCCTCAGCTGATGCTCTTCTCGGGGTGGAGAAGATGGGCTCCACCCGGGGTGGAAGTGGGGTGGCTTCGGGGGAGGGGAGAACAGCCCTTGCAGAACTCCAGCATGGCACTTCCGGTGCCAGGGGTCTGTCCCGCTCTGGAAGGAGCCCTTCTTGGTGGTTTTATTACGGTACGAGTTAAACCTAAATCGGAACTGCCAGACCATGGATGTTCCAGGACCAGAGAGTCCCAGTGAAGGCTGGTGCTCGGAGGCCAGTGGCCAGGCCAGGGCTGGGCATGCCAGTGGCGGGGGGGAGGCAGAAAGGACCCATCAGGGACTAGTCAGGCCTGAGGGTGCCGGACCCGGGAGGTCCAATCTGTAGCTGCTCCGGCCTGTACGGTGCCTAGCGCAATCCGAGAGCGTACAGTGCCAGACAGGTAAGGCCGAATAAAAGGCGAGAGGAGAAAGAGGGCAGAGTATCAACTTCCCGTGAATGACACTCCACGTCGCTCCTAGAACTGGCACTAGAACTCCGGGGTTAACTCCCCGTCCTGTGCACGGCCCACGTGCTGTCAGTTACAGAAGGCGGTGCTGTCTGTCCCCGGCGCTGCGAGATGGCAAACACGGAGACGTGACGTGCTGCAGTCAGCCGTCACTCTGTCGTCTTGGCGTTGATCTTTCTCCTTCAATCAGACTAACAAAGCTGGGTAGATGGGGGATAGGTTTTTTGCTGTTCAGCTCAGCCCCTCAAATAGCTTCCTGAAGAGGGAATGTTAAATTTAGAATAATTGGCTGATCACAGTCGCTGCAATTTGCATTGACTGCTCGACTAGTTGATAGGGCGCCTCCCCCTTCGAAGTGTAGCAAACCCTAGGACTGTTGCTATGCTTCAAAGGCGAAAGGACTCGCCAGCTGATCCCGGGCTCCACACGGCACTGCCACTTTGAAACACCGTGCGGAGCCTAACACAGGGTGTTACCGCTTTAAGTACCCCCTCCTCTTCCCCTTCCCCTTCCCCCCCTTCTGATAGAGGCAGCAAGGAGGTGGGTAGCGTCTTGTTGACTATTGCGTCGACCATCTGATAAGCATTTGCTTATTGGATAGTCGTCTAGTCCCTCACATCCCTATCCAGGACCGCAATCCTGCCTTCTAACTCAAATGCCGCCCTCTCTGTGACGTGCTGCTGTGAAACTCAAGGCTGATGAAGTTGGTTCACGTGCTTCTGTATCATGTGACATTGCCCCGCGCCTCCGTGGAGCAGTTTTTTAAACGAGGGGCTGGGAGAAAGCCGATAGGTGCGGAGGCGCACGTGGATCAGTCAGAGATGTCCTTGGGGGATGGTCTATTAATAGAGTTTCTCTGTGTCCTAGTAAAGAAAGGAGGGAAGATAAAATATGGGGACGATCTGATGAGAAACAGTCAAATGAGAGTCCCATTCAGTCGCGTCAGGCAATGGCAGACCGCTAAAAAGTGACCAGATTTTTAAGTGCTCGTACGCAGACACGAGAAGTCTAAATAATAAAATGCACGAACTAGAGCGCTTCATATTGAATAAGGATTTGGATATCAACGGCATCACAGAATCTGGGTGGGATACAGTCGTTCCAGGGTGCAAAATATATCCGAAGGGGAGAGCAGGTCGTGCCAGACGGGGGTGGCACTATCCGTGAAAGGAAGCGGGGACTCCAATGAAGTCAAAATCGTAAATGAGCCAAACTGTTCTGCACGACAACTGTGAGACTGTGCCGTGGAAATGGAAAGGAGCTGTCAAAAAAGTGAAATGCCTGCAAGCTGCAGGGGAGCGCTTAAAAACCTCATTAGAGGCTCGGGCTAAATGCATTTCCCTCCCGCCCCACCCCAAACCAGCGAGGACCCAAAAAAGCCACCCCGGCTAAACACTGAGTAAAGGGGACAGCTTTAAACATCGGAAGCCAGCTCTCGTAAGTGAGCCAAACTGTTCTGCAACTGTGAGACTGTGCCGTGGAAATGGAAAGGAGCCGTCAAAAAAGTGAAATGCCTGCAAGCTGCAAGGGAGCGCTTAAAAACCTCATTAGAGGCTCGGGCTAAATGCATTTCCCTCCCGCCCCACCCCAAACCAGCGAGGACCCAAAAAAGCCACCCCGGCTAAACACTGAGTAAAGGGGACAGCTTTAAACATCGGAAGCCAGCTCCTGCTGAGGATAATGCAAAGGAGCATCAACTCTGGCAAGCCAAGCGGGAGAGTGTAGTAAGGAAGGGCCAAAAGAGAATTTGGAGGGTGGCCAGCTAAGGATGCCGCCTAAGAGCAGCATATGTGCGAAGTGCGTCAGAAGCGGGGGAGCCTGCCGAATACAGTGGCCCCTGGGTGATCGGGGGGCTACAGGAGCACTCGGGGAAGACGAGGCTGCTGCAGCCGAGTGAAATGAATCTTTGCATTGGTCGCTGGCAAAGGATAATGATCACCCAAGAGCGCCAAGGGAAGTCAGGAAATTGCTGAACTACAGGTTGGGCCTCCCTGGTCTGGCACCCTTGGGACCTGACTAAGGATGTTAAGGACTAGTCGACTAGTCGATATCTACCTCCTCCCTCCCCCACCTCTTTGAGAGAGAGCAGTGGGCGGGGGGGAGGGTACTTCAAAGCAGCGTGCACAACTGAGCCAGGGATCAGCTGTGTGGTGCTGCTGCTTTGAAACCCCAAGGGGGCTCAGCTGTGCGGCACTGCCCCTTTAAAACGCCGCTTCCATGGAGCCCGGGGCTCCACTCTCCCTTGGAATTCCTGCCTCTGCATTTCAAAGGGACTCCCCAGCTGATCTTGAGCTCTGCGCTGCATTATCCCAGGAGCTGGGGTCAACTGGGGACCCCCCTGCTGACTCCGGGCTCCATGGCTTTAAATGCACAGGAGCCCCCGCTGGGGACGCTCGTGCATTTCAAAGCAGGCACCCGCGTGCAGCCCGGTGTTAGCGGGGCTTCCCCCTGGCCCTGGGCTGTACGCGTACATTTCTAAGGAGGGATGCGGACGTGCCTGTCGACTAGCTCAGTAGTCTGCTCGACTAGTCAATTAACCGCTAGTTAACATCCCTAGACCTGAGCAGTCCAGAAGGAGGGAGTTGCCGGACCAAGGGAGGTCGGCCCCTCTGCTGACAGACTCCAGGCTCTCCTGGGATCTGTTAGCAAATTGCCAGGCTCCCCTGTCCCTGGGCTACTGGGCTCCCAGCTCCATGGCTGTCGACTAGCTCAGTAGTCTGCTCGACTAGTCAATTAACCGCTAGTTAACATCCCTAGACCTGAGCAGTCCAGAAGGAGGGAGTTGCCGGACCAAGGGAGGTCGGCCCCTCTGCTGACAGACTCCAGGCTCTCCTGGGATCTGTTAGCAAATTGCCAGGCTCCCCTGTCCCTGGGCTACTGGGCTCCCAGCTCCATGGCCAGCTGAGATGACTGGAGGGTATGTAATGTAACCACACAGCATGGGAGGCGGGGTCTGCTCCAGTAGCCGGGAATGGGACCATGGCGGGGGCGAACGGACGGACGGTCGGTCGGTCTCCCCCGGCAGCCAGGAATGGGACCGTGGCGGGGGGAATGGACGGTCGGTCGGTCTGCTCCGGCAGCTGGGAATGGGACCATGGCGGGGGCGAACGGACGGACGGTCGGTCGGTCTCCCCCGGCAGCCAGGAATGGGACCGTGGCGGGGGGAATGGACGGTCGGTCGGTCTGCTCCGGCAGCTGGGAATGGGACCATGGCGGGGGCGAACGGACGGACGGTCGGTCGGTCTCCCCCGGCAGCCAGGAATGGGACCGTGGCGGGGGGAATGGACGGTCGGTCGGTCTGCTCCGGCAGCTGGGAATGGGACCATGGCGGGGGCGAACGGACGGACGGTCGGTCGGTCTCCCCCGGCAGCCAGGAATGGGACCGTGGCGGGGGGAATGGACGGTCGGTCGGTCTGCTCCGGCAGCTGGGAATGGGACCATGGCGGGGGCGAACGGACGGACGGTCGGTCGGTCTCCCCCGGCAGCCAGGAATGGGACCGTGGCGGGGGGAATGGACGGTCGGTCGGTCTGCTCCGGCAGCTGGGAATGGGACCATGGCGGGGGCGAACGGACGGACGGTCGGTCGGTCTCCCCCGGCAGCCAGGAATGGGACCGTGGCGGGGGGAATGGACGGTCGGTCGGTCTGCTCCGGCAGCTGGGAATGGGACCATGGCGGGGGCGAACGGACGGACGGTCGGTCGGTCTCCCCCGGCAGCCAGGAATGGGACCGTGGCGGGGGGAATGGACGGTCGGTCGGTCTGCTCCGGCAGCTGGGAATGGGACCATGGCGGGGGCGAACGGACGGACGGTCGGTCGGTCTCCCCCGGCAGCCAGGAATGGGACCGTGGCGGGGGGAATGGACGGTCGGTCGGTCTGCTCCGGCAGCTGGGAATGGGACCATGGCGGGGGCGAACGGACGGACGGTCGGTCGGTCTCCCCCGGCAGCCAGGAATGGGACCGTGGCGGGGGGAATGGACGGTCGGTCGGTCTGCTCCGGCAGCTGGGAATGGGACCATGGCGGGGGCGAACGGACGGACGGTCGGTCGGTCTCCCCCGGCAGCCAGGAATGGGACCGTGGCGGGGGGAATGGACGGTCGGTCGGTCTGCTCCGGCAGCTGGGAATGGGACCATGGCGGGGGCGAACGGACGGACGGTCGGTCGGTCTCCCCCGGCAGCCAGGAATGGGACCGTGGCGGGGGGAATGGACGGTCGGTCGGTCTGCTCCGGCAGCTGGGAATGGGACCATGGCGGGGGCGAACGGACGGACGGTCGGTCGGTCTCCCCCGGCAGCCAGGAATGGGACCGTGGCGGGGGGAATGGACGGTCGGTCGGTCTGCTCCGGCAGCTGGGAATGGGACCATGGCGGGGGCGAACGGACGGACGGTCGGTCGGTCTCCCCCGGCAGCCAGGAATGGGACCGTGGCGGGGGGAATGGACGGTCGGTCGGTCTGCTCCGGCAGCTGGGAATGGGACCATGGCGGGGGCGAACGGACGGACGGTCGGTCGGTCTCCCCCGGCAGCCAGGAATGGGACCGTGGCGGGGGGAATGGACGGTCGGTCGGTCTGCTCCGGCAGCTGGGAATGGGACCATGGCGGGGGCGAACGGACGGACGGTCGGTCGGTCTCCCCCGGCAGCCAGGAATGGGACCGTGGCGGGGGGAATGGACGGTCGGTCGGTCTGCTCCGGCAGCTGGGAATGGGACCATGGCGGGGGCGAACGGACGGACGGTCGGTCGGTCTCCCCCGGCAGCCAGGAATGGGACCGTGGCGGGGGGAATGGACGGTCGGTCGGTCTGCTCCGGCAGCTGGGAATGGGACCATGGCGGGGGCGAACGGACGGACGGTCGGTCGGTCTCCCCCGGCAGCCAGGAATGGGACCGTGGCGGGGGGAATGGACGGTCGGTCGGTCTGCTCCGGCAGCTGGGAATGGGACCATGGCGGGGGCGAACGGACGGACGGTCGGTCGGTCTCCCCCGGCAGCCAGGAATGGGACCGTGGCGGGGGGAATGGACGGTCGGTCGGTCTGCTCCGGCAGCTGGGAATGGGACCATGGCGGGGGCGAACGGACGGACGGTCGGTCGGTCTCCCCCGGCAGCCAGGAATGGGACCGTGGCGGGGGGAATGGACGGTCGGTCGGTCTGCTCCGGCAGCTGGGAATGGGACCATGGCGGGGGCGAACGGACGGACGGTCGGTCGGTCTCCCCCGGCAGCCAGGAATGGGACCGTGGCGGGGGGAATGGACGGTCGGTCGGTCTGCTCCGGCAGCTGGGAATGGGACCATGGCGGGGGCGAACGGACGGACGGTCGGTCGGTCTGCTCCGGCGGCTGGGAACAGGACCTGCTGCACAGATGAGAACGGGTGGAGTTTCTGCTCTGGCAGCCGAGAGAGACAGAGCCAGAGTGTTAGTTAAGAACTTGGGTGCCCTGGTATCACACGTCCAAACCAGCGCCCGTGACCTCAATATTGATGCACAAGCCAAAACTCCCTGCGCTCCTGGTTGGAAAGTCTGAGGGGGACCCTGCTTGTGACCCCCGGTGCCTGAGTTCAGGGGCCAGCGTGCCCTGCCTGTGAGACGACCACTGTCTCTGGTCACATCTTCTGCTTCTCTTCCTTCGCCAGGGTTCTCAATTACTGCCGCGTCTTCACCGAGCTCTGCGAGACCTTTCTGGATAAAATCGTCTGCTCGCCGGGCCAGGGGCTGGGGGACCTGCGCACGCTGGAGCTGCTGCTGATCTGTGCGGGCCACCCGCAGTACGAGGTAGGGCTCGGCCGGTCTCTCGTGCTGCCTCCGCCGTCGGACAGCAGAAAGCCCTTCTCTGTCGCGGAGCTCGCTGGGGCGGGGTCAGGCCGGTGCGCAGTGGCCTGGAAAGCCTTGCTCCAAAGTGGTGGTGCGGAAGGTCCGGTCGAACTCCTCCAGGCCTGGGGGGGAAAGCCCTGAGGGAGGAGATCCGGAGACGTCCCTCCTCCGTGTGATTGACGGCGTTTTAAACCTCTCGTGTGCTAGGGGCTGCATCTTGTTACTTCTGAGCCAGTCAGTCGGGGCAGGCTTAGGGAAAATGGATTCTGGGGTTCACTTGTGTTTTGGGGGCCCCCTGCCTTCCCACTTCCATTGTCCCTGGTTCTGCTACCTCCTCACCTCCCCGCATTGGCCTACGCTCCCTTCTGTGCCTCAGACCCCAAGCCTGCCCCACTCCTTGCCTCTTGACCGCGCCCCCCTGGGCAGCAGCCCACCCGTAAGGCTGGCCCTGGTACCAGCCACGTTTGGGTGTATGTGGGTTCTCCCTCCTCGCCCCTCGCTTCCCACAGCACGCTGACTAGCCAGATCCCACGTGTGAGAGGAGAGCTTCCCTCTTCCCTTCCCCGGATCCCCCACCCCTGGGAGACCCCGGAAGCGCGTGGTGACCCACAGTCATGCCTGTCCCTTCTCTTCCGCTCTGGGCACCCGTCCCACACGTACGGAGTCGTGGGTTGGCCCTCCTGCCGTGAGGTCACGGGCCAGGCCTGCTTGCCTCACCACCTACCCACGTCTTTACTGAGGGCCCATTCGCACCTGAGGAGACAAGTGGGAAATGGGCCGAGCGAGTCTGAGGCGACGAGCGAGCTGTTAGCCTCGAGGTGTGGCTGTCCAAACACGAACGGGCTCCTTAGGTCTGCGCTGCATTCCGATTGGGTACCGGACCGCTGTCAGTCAGTCGGGGGGCGGGGAGCCATGTTAGTCGGTGACTGGAAACACTTAAAACCAACCAACGGTCCTGCAGCACCTGAGAGACCAACCCAACATGCAGAGGGTGGCGGGAGCTTTCGTGGATACCGCCCGCTTCCTCCGGCCCACGAAAGCTGACTCCACCATCTGCATGTTGGGTTAGTGTCTCGGGGGCTGCCGGGCCGGGGGGCGTGCGGCCGAAATAACTGACACATTAAAAACTTCCCACCTGTCCGGGGGTTAAACACGGGAATCAATTGCCTGGGGGGTTGTGGAATCTCCATCGCTGGAGATATTGAAGAGCAGGTTGGACAGACACCTGGCAGGGATGGTCTAGAAGGTGCTTGGTCGTCCCGTGAGGGCCGGGGACTGAACTCCATGGCCTCAAGGTCCCTTCTGGTTCTAACTGACACATTAAAAACTTCCCACCTGTCCGGGGGTTAAACACGGGAATCAATTGCCTGGGGGGTTGTGGAATCTCCATCGCTGGAGATATTGAAGAGCAGGTTGGACAGACACCTGGCAGGGATGGTCTAGAAGGTGCTTGGTCGTCCCGTGAGGGCCGGGGACTGAACTCCATGGCCTCAAGGTCCCTTCTGGTTCTCGTGTTCTGTGGTTCTGTGACTTCTACTGGCTCACCCCCGGTGTGGGCACAGTTAGACTGGTACAAGGCTTGCGTCTGCTTAGAGCTGTGCCCGCGGGCTGGGGGAGCGCGCTCGTGCGTGGGCCAGGCTCTGGGGTGCGAGTCAGGTTCTCTTTCCCCAGGGGAGCAGGGAGCCCCCTGACAGAGCTTTGAGCTGCCTGAGAGGAGCTGGTGGCGCCAGCCGAGCTAGTGAACTGCATACAGCCTTGCCAGGCTCGCTAGCGGTACCGAGGGAGGCTGCGTTCCTGCGTGCTAGACCAGAGCGCACCCCGCTGGGGGTGTCCTCACTGTTAGGCTGGGCGAGCCAGTGTCGCTCCTCCAAGCCCTGTGCTCGCACTCCCCCCTTGATGGCGTCAAACCCCTGCTTAACGCTGCAGGTTTGGGAAGCCAAAGAAGCTGCTTGTTGTCGTGTCGGGGCTCCGGGCCCTGGCCTGGCTCCAGCGGGGAGCAGCGCCCGTGCGTCTCTGCCGCAGCCTAGGCGGCCTGGGGACCCGTTGCCCGGCCCAGAAGGCCGGCGGTGAAACGGTGTCGGTGGGAAAACGAGGCAGGGCTGGCTTTCCTCTCCCAATAGGTGGTGGAAATTTCCTTCAACTTCTGGTACCGACTGGGCGAGCATCTGTACAAAACGGACGATGCCGTCATACACAGCATCTTCAAGGCCTACATCCAGAGGCTCCTGCACGCCCTGGCCAGACACTGCCAGCTTGACCCCGACCACGTAAGGCTTTGCCCTCGTCTCCCTCCGTCAGCTGAGGTGCCAGGGTCTGGCACCCTGGCCGAGCACGATCGCCTGACTGCCTCCCCGCGGGGCCCTGCTCTCCCTTCCTGGAGCCGTCCCGGCTGTATCCCCCACCTCCCAGGGAGCTTGCCTGGGGCGTGCGGGAAGAGGGTCTGTCCCGCTAGTGCAGCCCGTGTGGGGCGAGGCAGAGGGGCATCGCTCTGTGCTCCGTCCCCTGAGATGGAGGAGAGGCGCCCGTGGTTTACGGTGGCTCGATCCAGGTGTCCCTGATTCGGGAACACCCGTGGTTCGGTCACTGGCAGGGGGAGGAGGAAGTGGCTCTGCCCTCCCCCAGCTGGGAACGGCAGCGCGGCAGAATGCTGGTCTGGAGGCTTTTCCCTCGCTGCTCCCCGAGCAGCAGGGGGCGTGGAGCCAGGTGTGCCCCTGGGTGCCAGGTAAGCGCCCCACTTCCATCCCCCTCCCGGCCAGATCTTTCCCTCCTCCCCCCCAACTGCCCTTCATTATGGCACACCCATGGTCTGGGCAGTTCCCCAATCCGGCATAGCCTCTTTCCCAAGTTGGAGCATAGCTTGCCTTGCCCTTCCCTTGCTGGGTGGGCTAATCAGGGTCTGGAAGTCCCCTTAGCTCTACAACCCCATTTCCTCCACCCCTCGCTCTGCTAGGAGGGTGTCCCAGAGGAGACGGACGACTTCGGGGAGTTCCGCATGAGGGTCTCGGACCTGGTGAAGGATTTGATCTTCCTGGTGGGATCGGTGGAATGTTTTGCTCAGGTGAGCCCCGGGCGATGCTGCTGTACCGCTGGCTAGGGGGCCGTCGCTCTGGGTGCGTTTAGCGCGGCCTCACGCACGCGGGGTGATGTAACGTCCGTGTTCTGCGACGGATCGGTCCCCGGAGATCTCCCTGTGGCTGCTCCCCTCCACCGTGCTGGCCTAGAGTCTCGCTGAGCGCCTCTGGCTTGATCCTGGGCTGCCACATCCCCTGCCGCGTGCTGCTCTTAGGTGGTACTCGGAAGGCTCTCTGCACATCTGGCCACGGTCACCCCGCTATGCCCTGCAAGCCGTGTCGCAGGCTCCTTTCCTCTCTGTGGCTGAAGCTGGGGAAGGCAAGCGCCCTATCCCCTAGGCCACGCGGGAACCCGCCCCTGCACCTTACCACAGGTAGGCCCTTTATCCCGCCTACCCCAGCACCGCCTGTCCTGAGCCAACCCCACCCCGGGGAAGACAGGACTCGAACACGTGCGTCCTCCCCGGGCGGGCGCCCTATCCCCTACGCCACGCGGGAACCCGCCCCTCCACCTTACCGCGGGTAGGCCCTTTATCCCACCTGCCCCAGTCGGGGTGAGCTGCTGCTGACGGGGGCTTGTCGCAGGCCTTGGTGCGCTTCAGGCCCTCCACGCCCCCCCCCCGCTATCCCACCCCCCCGGGGCTGGCGGCGCTCGCAGGGAGAACTGGGAGCTGCGGAAGTGGGCTGGGAGGATGTGGGGAGGATCATACACAGTGCTACCCTGCTGTGCCCTGGCTTGCTTCATCCTCCGATGTGACCGGCTCTCTACCCCCACAGCTTTACGCAACCTTGAAGGACGGGAACCCTCCCTGGGAGGGGAGGG